CAAAAACAACAAATTTTCCCCCCCCCCCCCCCTCCACTGGGACATGGATTATTTGGAGGGGCAGAAATCAGTCATCTGCCTGTGGCTTTCCCCAGCAAAGCCTGTGAACAGCAGGGCAACAAAGCGCACAAGAAAACCTTCCGGAGTACCTCCATACAGAGCCTGATACTTCTGCAACATCACAATGTAGGATTTTCTAATAGCAATATGTAAATACTCTATCTGTAATCAGTTTTTTTTGTTTTGCTTTTTCTGTTTTCTTTCATGGTGACGTGAATTGCCTATGTCTATTTTTGGATTTTGGTTCTGAACATATCAGGATAGCCTCCTGTTCAAAGTTTCTTCCTGGCTTTAGAAGTGAGATTATTTAAGGATAGTCAGTTTAGCAGTTGTTTTGAAAGAGTGGAGTTGCCTCAAGCCCCAGTACTCCCCTAATAGCTGAGCAGAGGCTTTTTTGTAAAGGTGTTAGAAGAAGGAATAAAGATATTTTTATCATGTAGTGTAGTACACAAATGTCTCAGAACTACAGGTCAGAGTTTGTCTTTTCATTTGCATTTATCAGTATAAGTCCTATAAGCTGTGCTTCCAACTTCTTTTCAGGTAGAACCCAGAACAAAATTATATGAAATTGAGATCTGTAAGAGAATTCTGTTTGAAATTGCAGTAGTTTAAATTGTCTGTTTTAGTACAGGACTAAGCTTTGTCACACTAATCTTAAATTGTGCTGTTGCAAGTTCAGATTAAAAATTAAGGTAAACACACCATAACATTTTTCAAGGTACGATGTTTAAGGTATCTTTGACTTGTATGAAATATAGTGCAGGGACTGAAAATATTTTTAGTTTTTTATTATGCTTTTGTTTGACTCTTCGTATTTTGTTTCAATCAATGGAATTATTAATCAGAAAATGCTTCAAATGAATCTAAGGATATACCTGGTTTGAGCTGCGTGTTTGAGCTAGTTTTTGGTTTTGTTTTTTTCTTTTAATTTTTATCAATAGCACCCACCCCACCCCCAGGTCCTTAGTGGTTTTTCCTGTCTGGCAGAGACATGAATTTGAAGAGTAGAAACTCTTAAAGGGGAGAGAAGCAGCTGGATCAAAAGCAGTACCTCATTCTCAAAACTCATTTATTTTCATCCCTGCCTCCCCCTTCCTTTCACCTCTACACTTTCTAAACACCCATGTCATCTGGTTGAACTGGTCTGTGAAAGAATAAAACTGATATTGTAATAGAAGATTAGATTTTTGAAGTTGAAGTAAATGATTTCTTAATAATGTTTGTTATTACGTGTATGATAGTTTGCCATATCTCTTGCAGACCTACATTTCTCCAAGTGCTGCTATATTTAAAGCAGAAGAGGCTGGTGAAACGGAGGCTATGCTGAACAACATGAGAATTTATGGAACGTGTATTATCATTCTGATGGCCATAGTAGTTTTTGTGGGAGTAAAGTATGTCAACAAACTTGCACTGGTCTTCCTTGCCTGTGTGATTCTTTCCATCATTGCCATATATGCTGGAGTTATTAAGACTGCTTTTGACCCACCTGATTTTCCGTAAGTGCAGTATCTTTAAGTAGTGTGGGTTATTTAAAAAAAAAAAAAAAAGGGGGGGGAGGGAATAGCTACTATAATCATTTCATGTTTTAAGCTAAACTTCAAAATACAAGCACATTGGCTTCCATGGTAGGTTTTATGTGTTTTAGGTAATTATGCGCTCATTTGTTATTCTGAGTTACATATCTGAATCTTTCTCTCATTGTTCATAAGTCATGATACTCTGGAAAATGTTCTTTGGTACTTAAAGTTACTAGTCATTACTCCATCCACATGTAAAGAACAAGAAGGTGGCTTTTGCTGACAGTAAATATAGCTGCTTTATCTAAAGAGTTAAACTAAAAACCTATAGAATAAAGTAAAAACTTCAAGAAAATGTTGTAACTATGAACTATAGTTGTGAAAGAAACATACTTTCAAACTTTCTTTGTCATGAGGAATCCTTTGAAACTTCCATTTCTCCCTACTTAAAATGGAGACATTGCAGTGTTAAACTCATTTGTGTTTGTGAAGGCTTTATACCTTCTTGTTAATAAAATCAAATATTATTGTTGTCACTTGTGGCATACTGCTTCTCAGCACCTTTAGCTTGTACCTCTCTTGGCTCGCTAAGAATTATTTTTTTGTCCAGTTATCAGTATGTGAGTTGCATTTTTGTGCATCTTTTTCTGTTTGGAGAGAAAACAAAATGATACTGCTTAACACGTTAGCAGAATAGCCTGGTAACTTTTGTTATGAAGTGCCATCTGTTATGCAGGACTGAAGTTATCCTTTGCTGTATGATTGTTACAGATTCCTTAGTACTTTGAAGTGTTGATGGTCATGTTACAAATTGAGCATTAAAGCAGTATTTGTGGCCTGTACTGTAAAATGTTATCAAGTCTTCTATTGAAAAAATGTGTTCAAAATTGACTTTTTTTCTGAAGAAAACTTGAATTTCTAAGAAACTATAACTTCCAGTAGGGAAATACTTAAATCTGTTAGTCACCTATAAGGTAAAAGAGGGTTTATCTGGATATGTAGCATAGGTAAGACTTACTACGAAGTTCCCGGAAACCTTATCTGTGGCTGCTACTGTGATATATTCTTGTTTAGCGGGGGAAAAAAAAATAAAGAAAGGTTATCTTCCAATAAACATAATTGTTCACATTTTGGCCAGTCTGCCTCAAAATGAGAAACTCGAGTATGGTTTTTTAGTATGGTAAAGCTGATCCGGTGGTGAGCTGGTCACCAAAAAGACCAGCTTCCACTTAGCTGGTTAGTTAAGTTGGCATCACTAACCTCCATTAGGTTTGGCCATTGTATAGATGGTAAAATAGTTTACCTCACGATCTCCTAGTTGAATCAAACTGGAAGAAGTTTCCATGGGTCAAATTAACATACCCTGCTGCTATAGGGTCACCAAATCAATAGCAATTAAAAAGAAAAATGAGCAAAGCAAGTGGCAAGATGATCTTTTCAGCAGCAGCTTTCTGTTAAATCTGCTCAACTTCCATGTGATGCCATACCCCGAAGCTGTACTGGTGTCTGGTACTCTTCTTAAGGCATCTCTCTTACTTGCTATCAGAAACAGGATATTGCACTAGGTCAATATTCTGCTTGGCTTTGTATACTTGTTCTAATGCCAAGTAGTATTTTTTTACTGCTTGTTATCAGCCTCTTGACTGAATGCCTTCAGAAGCATTAGGTGTGTACTATGTGTTCGTTGGCTTACTTCTCTGCCTAACACGAATGTTTTATTTGGTGTTCCTTCTTTCATCTTCATAGATATTATATATCACTTCATTATTAAGCAAGCCTGGAACAGATACCTCCTAAACATCTTTGGTGTAGCTTAGTAAAGAAATGTTGCTAGATCCTTAATATTCTTTGCTGTTAGGAATTTGCTTTTTGCAAACTATTCTGAGTTTTCTAATTTTCTTTCATTTCTGAGTGTTTTAATTGCTTCCTGCTACGTGATTCTTTAATTTGTACTAACATCAATGTGTTTTAAATTTTCCTGTTTAACCCTCCTGGCTTATTTCCTACCTTTTGGATTTTAATATTTTTGAGGGCCATCTAGAATACTTATTTGCTAGAAAAGGGCACGATATACTTGCTTAATCTTACTTTTGTATTTTCTTGGTCAGGCTCATCGTTACATTAAGTATATTAAGTATTACTTAATTTCACTTCTTTATTTTAGGACTGAATGAATCACGATCTCTGTTATTTAGTGGCCAAGCTGCTTGAGCTGATTGTATTTTCCAAAGAATAAATCAGAAGGCAAAATAGCTATTAATACCTTAAAGTTTGATCGGTGTTTTAAAGATTATTGACGATAGTTTTATATGCAGAGACTACATACTGTTTTAGTAGATGTGGTATAGGCCATAAGATAGGTACTATAAATAACAGGTTTCTGAAGAAGTCTAATAGACAAAAAAAATAGTTTAATGCACAACGCTATATTGAAGGATCACTCTTTTTATTTTTTGTTTATAGTATCTGTCTCCTTGGAAACCGTACATTGTCAAAACGCAACTTTGATGTCTGTGCGAAATTTACTGAAAGCAATAATGAAACGAAGACTACAACTTTGTGGAACCTATTCTGTGATAGTTCTTTGCTTAATGCTACATGTGATGACTACTTCAGTCTCAATAATGTAACTGAAATTCAAGGGATTCCAGGAATAATGAGTGGAGTTCTAGCTGGTAAGTTGGAAAGCGCAGTGATTTAAAAATTTTTGGACATTGTTAATTTGGCCTGTAGCTGTTCAGTAATGTAGTGGTCTAGCCTGGCACTACTTCTTTAGCTCTAATCTGTTTGTGTGAAAGATTGCTACCTGGTGCATGCTTCCTCCTATAAAGTTTCCATCTGGTTTTAGAAGCTTAGTATCAAATACTTTAACTTGGAGATCATTGGAGTTTTATAGCACTCTTTCAAAAGCCATTGTTCTATCAAAAAAAAAAGTAGGGAAGTGTTTATCACAGCTAATTTTTTTTTTAATTGTTTAGCTCTTCTCTATGCCAAATACAACTATTTCAGTAAGCTGTTCATTAATACATTCTCAAACTCTCCTGAGGGAGAACTTGTTTCCAATTTACAGGTGGTGCATTGAGGAATGAAGTCCTGTGGCTTGTCCAATGTGATACAGCAAGTTAGTGGTGGGTTTGGAGAAAAGCAGTCTTTCTAGCTTCCAGTCTAGCATTTGGACAGAAGATGTTCTACAAAGTGTATAGATTTTCTTCTGTTTACATTCCCCTACAGTGGTGGCAGCTTGGGATTCCAATTGCACTGGGTCATAAGATTCATTTTGAATATGTAATGGGTTGTATTGTATACAGAGAATGTTTCTGGGGATGAAATGGATGTTCTGATACCTCTCCCCTGCTTCCCCTTAAAATAAGGTTTGTTTTATATAAATATGTAACTCTACATAGGGCCACTAGGCAACCACTACTGCCATAGTAATTTAGTTTAAAATATCAAATATGAAGTGTACAAGTACATAAAAAGATAGTAAATGAAGCATTGGCTTCTCTGAATCTAAATTTGTATGTTTAAAAAAATCACTCAATTTCCTCAACGAAAAATGAAATTCTTTTCGATTTAAATGTTTGTTATAAGAAATGTGACTTAGGGTTTGTTCTATGCATCTTATAATTTACCACACGCATATCTATAACTTTTCCTGAATATTTTTACATTTCCTGCCCCAGCTCCGAAGACAGCTGTATGTTCTAATTTTTTGCTACAGTGTAAGCTTTAAGCTGCTATTTTGCTTTTGGAGGTTTCAGGCTGAGTACTAATTTTTCTTCTTTTGGAAAAATGTGCTTTCGGTTCTGTTCACTGATTAACATTTCTTTGAACTAGCACTACTGTATAAAAGCGCATTTCACTGTTCTACTGTCATGTAATGCTAAGATCTCTAACAACCATTGAGAGTCTGCTGAAAGCTCAGTGTGAGAGATGCACCTTCTGGTGTTCATTGCTTGATGTTTACCTATAGTGAATTTCATCAAATTGCATTCTGTTCAGTCACTGTGTCTATGGTTTTTCTGTAGTTCTTTGCAGTTGGCTTTGCTTCTACAACTTTGAATAACTGAGTATTACCATTAAGCTTTCTCATCTTGCTACTAGCTCCTTTTTCCAGGTTGTTTGAGTGTACTGGAAAGCACTGGCTATATCCTGCTACTGATCCTTGTGGAAGCTTACTGGTGGCTTTCCTGCATTATAAAACTGTATTTACATTTACTCTTAGCTGTTGTTTTCTATCTTTGAACCATTTTTTTTATCCATGTGAGGAGTTATCGTCTTATCCCATGACTATTATAGATTCCTTGGTTGAGGAATCTTTCAAAAATGTGGGAAATCCAGAGGGACTGAATTAAGCGGATCGTCTTCATTTATGTTTCCCTCAAGGAACTTGAATACCTCTGACAGCTTTCTTTTACAAAAGCTATACTGAAACTTCCCCAGTTCCCCAAAACTCAAGGAAAAAAACTGTGACTAGATGCTGGTTTTGTCAGAACTCAAAGATAACACCCATGTGTTTACCGCTTCTATCCATTGCTATTATTGCTATTAACTGTTCATGTGCAGATGCTACTTGTGAGCCTTTAGTTTCCTGGTCTCTCCAAAATTCTCTTAAAAAGTTGGCCTTATGTTTGTCATGTTTCAGTCCTTGGGTAGTAATACGATTTCAGGCAAACTCATAGTTAGCACCTCAGGCCTTTCAGTATTCTTGGAGGTTTCAGGCTGAGTACTAATTTTTCTGCTTCTGGAAAAATGTGCTCTGGTTCTGTTCACTGATTAACATTTACTTGAACTAGCACTACTGTATAGTAGTACAGCATACAGTGCATTTCACTGTCCTAGTGTCACGTAATGCTAAGACTAAATTAAGTGCATCACCTGTCCTGCTTGCTGAGTGTGAGCACACATTCGAATACCTAATGTAAGCTTGAACTTGACTGGCAAAGATTTCTCAAGGAGGATTTTCCTCCACTGATGACCTATGTTCTGCTTTGTGTGAAGACTTTGCAGCTGCAGACTCTGCACATTTAAGTTTCTTGAGCTGTGTCTGGGAATACTCAGATATATCATGCCTGGGTGTCTCAGGAAGCGTGTGCTAAGCCTTCACACCATTTACTGGGCACTTGTATACAGTAAGTATGCATCTCTTATACACCTTCCATGAATGTTGTCCTAACAACAAAAAAAATCACTCTACAAATAGCTGACCAAACATCCCCATGAATGTGGCCCTAACAATAATGAAATAATTCTGGAAATAACTTTTATCAACATCGTTGGGCTTCATGGTAGCATGTTGTTGGGTTAGATACATTAGATACATTGTACCAGATCTTGTTTATGTGTCCCTAAATGTTGCTAGAGGAGCCTCAGCAACCCATGAGTGGTCCTAGAAGGGAAACCTATCTGGAGTGCTCAGGCCATTCTCACTTCTGTGTCATACTGACTAAAGGACACAGGCTATTAAGTCCTCATTAAGTATTTAGTGCTTTTGATTGGCAATGACAAACTGATTTTTGGACTTTCTTTTTATGCTTCATAGGAAGTGGATGCTACTTTGGAGGTCTTGTTTTATGTCACTCCTCAAATCTTTGCTAAAATTCCTGAAATTTAAAATTCTTTTGTTTCCTTAAGTCTTGTTTTTATGGCTTTGGTCTTATCTCTACATCAGTTTGCTATTCCTTTTCGTTTGAATGAACTAACACACATAGTGTTCTGTAGCAATTAATACTTACTTTCCTTTTAATCTTTGTTCTACTGTCTTTTATGTTTCTCATGCATGCTTCCATATATGCTTACCAATTTTAAGATTTCTGTTACAAATCTGGATATGAGTACCCTATCTTTGGCCACTTACGGAGATTCAGAGTCAATCTCCTATTGTGCTCAAGGTAACCTTTTGCTATTGTGAAGGCTTAGATACTGTGCTTAATTCCCTTAAGTTGTACTGGATGACTGAAAATTGGCTATCAGATCCATCATCCTGGCAGTCCATGGGAATTGTTTATTTCTGTGGTGTAAAATCCTTTGCCTCTTTGACAGGGAGGGAGAGTATCTGCTTTGTTTTCCTCACATGCGATAGGACAACTTGTCTCATTTTAAAATAAGAATCGGTGTTGGATGTTCTCATCTTGTCGGGGGCACAACCAGTGTTTCCACAAATGTAAGCTCTCAAAAGCTGCTGGTTCTTTGACCTGTCAATCTTCATCGAACAAGCACCCTTAGTTTGTTGGAGAATTTGAGCCACATTCTGCTTTTTTTGCTTGCTTTGGGTTTTTTTTTTTTTGCTTATCAATTCTCTTCTGGAGTCCAATTACTCTGCTTTTGTCACTGTGTGGAATACCTTCACCTTGAACAGCTGAGTCCTGAACTGTTGTCCAAGGTTACTCGGTACAGCAGTTCTCAAAGCACTCAAGTTATTGCTAAGTAGCACTTCTTTTTTGACCTGCTCCTCAAAATATAGGAACAAGAATTACAAATATATGCTAAGATTGCCTGAACCTGGAGATAATAGATTCCTTATTTTTTCACAATGCATCTTGATAATACGTCCATATGTTTGTGCAATGTAAATGGACATTCTACAAATATTTTAGAATTTAATTCTATAACAAAATCTTTCTTTAATGGAAGAGAGAATCTTGTAAGATGCATCCCATACAATACTGCATTTCTACTGGTGTACAGTGGGAATGTCCACCAGTTACAATTGGTATTGATCATATTGCTGCTGCATTCTTGGCTTTATAAGGAAAGAAATGCTGGGAAACATCATGATTTTTGTGTAAGAAAAACCATCTGATTCATAAGATTGTTGCATTCTCACTACTTAACATCCTGAATCAGAGAGATGACACTGGCTCTTGGTTTTTTTCCCCCCTTGTAGATAATCTGTGGAGTACCTATTCAGAAAAAGGATCAATAGTTGAGAAAAAAGATCAGCCATCAGTTGCTGGATCAGAAGAGATAAAAATGGGTGGACTCCCTTATGTTTTTACAGACATCATGACCTACTTCACAATGCTTGTAGGGATTTATTTCCCATCTGTGACAGGTAGATACAGTTATTTTTCTTGAGTGAGGATGTGTACTTATAGCTGAAAAAAGATTTTCTTGTGTGTGTGTGAATGTTTATTGATGACACATATATTGCTAGTCTGTGTGTCCAAGTTTTATGTACCTAAAACTTTCTGGTGCTAGAGAGACATAGCTGGCAGCTGGTTATTTTAGGGGGTTATAGGACTTAAACAAGAAATCAGCTTAAGTGCTATTTTCTATGTCTGGAAAGAAAACAAAAGCTTCGCGTGTTACTAAATGCTTATTCAAAATAAGATGCATGCCTTTATAATATTTTTAATCTTCAAATGCATGAGAGAACAGTTGAGTATTAAGATGATTGTTTCAGGTATTCAAGCCGTGAACCGCCTGTGACTTGTTTAAATGTCCAATATTTTTTGCAACTGTAACTAGTAGAGACATTTTTTGTCAATCTTAAAGGTTAGATTAGTTGTATATCATTTTCCTCAGATCACATTTGACTGAAATAACCAGAGACATTTTTCTTCAAAAGTCCTAGCTCAAGCAATTGTAATATCAAGTAACAAAACAGAACTCTGATCGAAGTTGCAGCACTGTTTGCTAGTAGAATACCGGGCGGAGGTGTCCCTTCGTATTCTTGGCCTCCACTGTTCCCATTTCTCTACTTCAGGCTCTTTTATCAACATCTCATCATATCTGAGCCTGTGGTTAGGGTTTCATTGCATGGAGTCTGACAATGCTTTTGCACTGGAACATCTTGACATTAACTTCCATGTTTTTGCCTCCAACAGTGGTCAGTGCAATTCTAGGAAAGATGGCAGAATTAGTCAGTTATTGTATGATTTTTTCCCTCCTGTCACAGTATGTGCTAGAAAACACTTTTGTTATCTTGTTAGATTCAAACAGGGATATGTACATGTGACTTCCTAACCATTCTTCTTGTACTTACTGCCTGATCCTTTCTTTTTTGTTTCTATATTTTTATTATTTAGTTTATGGATTTGCTTGCATATCTTATCATGCACGGTCTGTTTAGCAGAAAGTTAGTGCATTTGGTCACACTGGCTGAAATTGCTAAATCTCTATTGGTTTATAACATCCATCCCCAATATTTTGCTACTTATGTATATTTCCCCATTTTAAAAATGATTCTGAAGTTATATTTGAAAAAAATTTTTCATTTTTTTTACCTGTCTCTTTCCTGAGCTGTCTGGAATTTGTTCAGTCAACAATGGATGGTAACACAAATTTCTGAATAAAATGGTGGTATAAATTGAGGATTTGTGCAGGATTATAATACATTACTGTAGCCTGCTCCATTGATAATGATGTGTTAAATCAGGCTTAAAGTTAAATGTTCCTATTCTATTAGTTATTTACATGGAGTTAGTATTAATTATTTTTGACATATAAATTTGGTCTCTTTTTAATTTATTATGGCAGGTTCAAACAGATCTGGAGATCTTAAGGATGCTCAGAAGTCTATTCCTACTGGAACAATTTTGGCTATTTCAACTACGTCTTTTATTTGTATCCTTTATGCTGTGACTTTTTTTTTCTAGTGCGCATTCTGTAGGTATAAGAGTATAGTTTCTTCATTGAAAAGTCATTAGAGTTGCCTGAGTATAAAATGAATGAAATCTAAACTGAAAAGAAATATTTTATATTTGTCTAAAATATAAATATTTATAAACATTATTTAAAATATCTCAAATTTTATTTGTATATACAAATGTTCTGTTGCATGATATATGAACTGGCTACTTCCAATACTTCACAAATCAACTGTGCATCAAATGCAGTTGTAGAGAACATAAACTAAAAAGTTGTAGCAGGAAGAATTAAAAAGACCAACCACAAAACAACCAGAACAAACAAACCAACAACAAAAAAAAACCCAATTCATTATCATGGACACTTTCATTTCATCCCTAGGTGAAAAGTGGTGTGTTTTCTCTCACTCTCTCTATAAATGATTATTTATAGTGTAATCTTCCTTCAGTCTCAGTAATAGATCTCTCCTGTATAGTGTTGTTTGGTGCCTGTATAGAAGGTGTGATATTAAGAGATAAGTAAGTTATATTCAACTTCTAATTTTACAGGGAGTATGTATGATCATGGGTTATGTTAATAGGACTTATTAATGGCTCTTCTGGGAAATATTTATGTGATATATTTTTCTTTTGCTTAGACTTTCCCTCCAGTTTTAACCTATCTGTTACACTGAGATGGCTGCAAAAACTGGTCAGGCTATCAGGCTGTAACCCTTCAGGAAGTAGAAGCAGAATCTAAGATAAATGTTTGAAGTAGAACTGTCCTAATAAAATGTTCTTGAGAAAGAAAATCATAGTTAGCATTTGTGGAGCTGATGGGTGGGGGTAAGGGGAGAGTGGTATTACTTTGGGAGAAGTAATATGCTTCTGAGGATCAAAGACAGAAAAATATTTTTGACAGTTATGTGACAAGGAGAGTTCATGAGAGAGACTGCAATGCACCATCAGGCCTATAACTTCCACTGGATGTATGACTATTTTTTTGTTTGAAAAATATCAGTTGTATATCAGGAGTCATGTCAGTTTTCACCCATGTAATTGCCTGAGGATATTTGAGGCACAATGAATCATGAAGATAATAAATGTAATGCAGATAAGCATGAACAGGATCTCCAGATTTTGATAAATTTCTCCCTTAGGAGAAGTTGAGTTGATTAAGATGAATCTGTTGGCAGGCTTCACATTTGTTTCCTTGCTGGTGCCTGGTTCTCTTTTCTACTAAGGCCCAGGTTTGCTTTTGGTGATGAAGGAGTGGCATTGGGGTATTGTTTGGAAGGTGAAGGAGATGATGCTGAGACAACTTATTTCAAAACACAATCTTTTAGTCTAAGTTAAAAGCTGGATTCTAATCAAAGCTAATACAAGAAGCACCAGGGAATCATTTTTACTTTAAAATAGTATTGCTGCATCAGTGAAAATCTGATTTCTTTTTCTTCAAAGTAAATATACAAACCAAATCAGGCTGATGCTTAAAAAACAGTAAATTAATTCTGAATTATAAATTAATGCACAGCCAATATCTATAAACTCACATCTTTGAAAGTAACATATTTGAAATTTACTTGGGGGTGGAATTTTGCCCAATCTGTGAGTGCAGGTGATCTGTCACTAGAGCAGCATGCATTGTAGCAAGAGCATTGAATCCATGTTCTTTCATTTACACTGCTGCCAGTTCTTGTTTGGCTGAAATCCAGTGTAACAGTAAAATGCGTGGATTTTGGTCTGGTTTAAAGACTGTTTTTTGGGTTTTTTTTCATTATGGATTGTCATATCTGCCATGGGAAAAAGTAGGTTGTACATCTTTCAGTGTTTGTCCTTCATCTTTTCAAGTTGTTCCTACCCAGTGTTTAATTAAAACACAGGCATTAGAATTTGAATTGAGAATGAATGTGTAGTTGTATAAATGTCATCATAGAAGCATAACATGTTTTTTTTCTCCTATATCTTTAAAGGGTGTAGTTTCCCCTTTTTCCATCTCCTAAAAATAGTATGTAGCCATGCATCCAAGCTTGGCCATATGTAAGAATTTGAACACTGGCATGTTATATTAACCTGATTACTGTGTTTCTTGACCCTGTTTAAGAGCAGGTCTGAAAAGAGCTAAAGCATTTAATTTTTCTTAGCCTGTAGCCTTTTCTTTTCTCTGGTGTTTGTTTTGAAAAGCCTGAAAACATTGGGGGGAAAAAAATGCTATCACAGTATAGATAGTCTTAAAATTGATTTTGGCTGCTTTCTAACAAAACTAAGAGGAACTACAAGAAGTTTACTTGCTTTTAAAGCAAAAACGTAAGCGTGATGGGGGTAAGAACCTTTTTGTAGTTTACCCAAGATGTCTGTAAATGAACATAATTATAAAAAAAAGCAGTGGCATTGGATGGGACACTCAAGACTGTAATGAAAACACCTTTTCCTGACTTCCACCTGCTTGTTTGCCATAGTCATTTAAAAATTGCATCAGGTAGCATGACAGTCAGAAGGCATGTGGATAACTTGAGATGGTTGTGTCTAGTAGTTTCTCTATTTACTTGTCCATATGTCAGTGTCACTCTATTAAAAGGAAAGGCTAATACTTTGTTTTGCAAATCTCCTGCTTATGCCCCACGGTAGACCTGTATTACTTGTAGAACAGACTTCTGCAATCTAGTTCCTAGCAGTCACAAGGATCTTAAGGATGCATATGTAAATACTTTTGCTATTGCTGTTAATTCTGCAAAGTTTGCCAAGATACCTGATACTTGCTGCATGTCTGCTTAGAGGCAGCACTTATAATGAATCAATTATAATATGTTTTCTTTAAAACAGCAGAATAAAGAGAAATTGTTTGGTTGGGAAATCCTATAGTGCATACTGTGACACGGTGTTTATTGTTGAAAAGTGCTGTTGTCCAAAAAGATTGAAATGTGGGTGTTGAAGCTATTGTAAAAGATATTTTGATGCTTACTGAATTTTTTTCTTTTTTTTGCCTTCCCTAAGGTTTGGAGAAGCAGTTAATGGAAATCTAGTGGTTGGTACACTGGCCTGGCCTTCTCCATGGGTTATTGTGATTGGTTCATTCTTTTCAACATGTGGTGCTGGTCTCCAGAGTCTCACTGGTGCACCCCGTCTGTTGCAGGCCATTGCAAGAGATGGCATTGTACCGTTTATTCAAGTGAGATTTTTTTTTCTTTACAGTACTTCAAATATGGCTTATAGTCTGACAAAAAAAATGAGGTATTATTTCTGCTATTCCTGTAGAACTGTGAGGAAAAGATTTGGAGCTCAGTTCTAATTGTGTACAATAATAGATCAAGCTATTGTAGGACAAAGTTTGAACTTGGATATTTCTGTGCAATGCAATTTAATTCTTTTTGTTCATACACATAAAAGCTAGTGGTTCAAAGCTGAGAATATGAGTCTTCTATAAATGGAAATAAATGAACTAAGAAGCAACTAACAACTGAACTTCTTGACTCCAAGCTGTGTTTACAACTTGTGTTTGTGAACAGAGTTGATTTAATCTCACTATGGAACTGCATGATACTTCTCATATCATAGAGATAAAATTCTAATTTTTATTCATTTTTGTAAGCTAAATTAAGTCAACAAAGATGTAACAATAGAATACTGTCCCATGACTCCGAACATTAAGATTGTTCCGACATCCCTGTGCATGTTTTAAAAATAAATAAATCGGATTTTTCTCAAAGGAAGTAAGTAAGGGAGCTGGCAAACAGAAGAAAAGAGAACTCTTGCTGGAAGATATTTAACAGAATTGCTGGGCTGCATCTGCAAAAACTAGACAACTAGAGTTGAGTTAAAAATAAACAAATAACATTCCAAAAGATGATAATGTCTAGAGAGAAAAGCTGTAATTTCTGTGGTGAAGCTTGGAGTTTGAAAGCTTACCTCAAATTGCCAAGAATAGCCAACAGTTGCACAGTGCAATGATAACCTACGAAGAACAGGTTCAAGTATTAAAAAAAACCAGGATCATGTCCACGTAACTATAGCTTACCTCAAATTGCCAAGAATAGCCAACAGTTGCACAGTGCAATGATAACCTACGAAGAACAGGTTCAAGTATTAAAAAAAACAGGATTATGTCTGTGTAACTATAAATATTTTGGGAACAGAGTTAGGGGACTGTTATCAAATTTAGTATGCAGAAAGAGATTGCAGATAGCACAGACTTTGAAGGTAGCTAGGGCTGAATTTAGGAGAATAGGCTGTTCTGTATGGAGGGAGTTCTGAGGATGATTTGGAGCACTTGTTAGTTTTTATATATCTCTCTGGGAGGTTTATATCATTATTTTGATACCTAAGTTATGTGACCAAACTTATGTTTGAGTATTCCCTACTTTACCCACACTTACCTCTGGAGTCTTGATCAGATGTGTGCTCTAGGTCACTGTCTCACATCTGAGGTTGGTGTGGTATGTTATGTTAAAAATGGGCTATTACTCTTGGTGAATAACTTAAGACTCTTCAGAGATATCTATAATCTATCTTCAATGAGGGCTAGGTATAGAATAACAGCAGCTTGGTTTGGTTCCTGAGTTTGGGGAAAGCCTACAATGAGTCAACACATTGATGTGTGGCTTGAGAAAATTCCTCAGCTAGGATGTGCCTAGGACTATTATGAATGATGGGTTAGCTGGAGAATTTGAGTGGGGTTGGGGGAGAAACATCTGAGGAGGATAGAGATGTGCAGATATGTGGGAATGGGAAAATAAAAGAGGAAAGGACTTGTGTGAAGAGGGGGAAGGGAGCGCACAGGGAGTGGGTTAGAGGAGATGGTTGGAAAAGCTGAGAAGCAAAGCAAAATGGAAGAGGTAATGCTAGTGACTTTGGCAGGGTGGGTTGTCTTTTGTGTGTTGTGGGTTTTTCGTTGTTTGGGTTTTTTTAAGGCAGATCATACTGCTGTTGCCAACTTTTTTTCTCAGTCTTTAATCACTTGGTTCCATTCCACTACTGCTGTTTCCTTGGTCTGTCTGCTAGTGCCTAGTCTCAGTAGGGCTATATCCTTGATATTTTTTTCCCTTAGGTCCTTCTCTTCTTTTGGGCTGGAGGGGAGAATGGTCACTAGAAATGTACACTAGTATTGCTGCTGGGAGCAGGAGCCAGAAGGGTTAATGAATCAAGAAGTAAACAAGTTAAAAAGACAGCAGCTGCTGCTTCTGCAGTCCATCTGCTGCCTGAATGTTCTGCCAGCAGCACTTGCAGCAATGCTACTGGTAGCAGGAAATGCAACTGCTGTGTCTCCAATTCTACCGGTTTGAGCTGCTCTGCACCTACAGTATTGGCAACTTGTTCATTGAGAAAGCTGTATCACCATTCCTTGATTTAGGAGCATCTTTTCTACCATGGTGAAGACAGATTATGAGGATGTGCAAAAATATCAAACATGCTGCTGCTCTATTTCACAGTTGAGAGCAGTGGCGTATTCCCTGACTTGCAAGACCTATATCTGTAACTGGAAGTTTATACACTAAGTGTGCTGGGGTGGGGGTACAGAATCATGATGGAGTTTGACTTGTGAGTGGGAAGGGGTTGTAATGCAATAAATTGTAAATACTGGGTTGTATTGAGAGAGACAAATTAAAAATTTCACTTTTGTCTGAAGTAAAAATTTGGTACTTGGTGAGAGGGTGACAGTATGATTCTGTCTTACCAGGGTTAGATTTGAAAGAAATGAAGAATTGGAAGGAAAAAAATTCGTGGTTTGGGAAGTGAGGGAAAGGGAATCCAGGAGAAGCAAGATATTTGAAGAGGGATTTGAGACTTGAAAAGTGCTTGCAATTTTGGAGTGATATAGCTGCTGCATGGACAATCAAGGAAATGAATGCAAGGAGATTAATATAGGGGCAAGCATATGACATATTTAAGAAAAAAAAACAAAAGACTTGAAACATGAGCAGAAAAAATGGCATTTTAATATAAGGGAAGGAAGATTGATGGATGACAGGAAGCTAAGGGAAAGAAGGCAGTATGGAGAATGAGTGAGGTGAAGAACCTAGACATTTGGAAAGGAAGCCATTGTGGAAAATGGGGAGTGAGGGTTTAGTCTTTATAATTGTATGGAGGAGAATAAATATGGCTGGAACTTCAGGTGAGGCATTTTGCCATCCATCACCAGTACAGATGGATAGAATTCTCCCCAAAGGAAATTACTACATGCAAAATGATTTTTGGTAGGGCTCTGTGCAGGATCATAGGCTTACCTAAGTCCTCTTTAAAGATCAATATTTATGTTCGTAAGTACTGAGTTGATGCCTATTTTGTATGTTACAAAAAATACTGCCCTCAACTATATTAGCTTTTTATAGACTAAGCATAAATCTCTGATGCATGTGGATTTTAAGTTACTTAAGATTATTTCAGCAGCAACTGCAATAGTACTTTAATGTTCTGTAGTCATTGCTTATTTTAGTAAACTTTTTTCATATTGGAAATGTGTGGTTTTTGCAATTTTGTTTGTGGCTTTTTGTAGTATAGATTGCTTCATTTTCCTTTGTAACTAATGACTGTTTTTGGTTTCAGTTAGAGTTAGTTTGTGATCTGCACCATATTTCATAACTGTATAATGAACAGCTTTCCCTAATCTTACTGTTTACTTGAATTGAACTAGGTATTTGGTCATGGAAAAGCAAATGGAGAACCAACTTGGGCTCTGCTTCTCACTGCTGGTATTTGTGAAATAGGAATTTTGATAGCCTCATTGGACAGCGTAGCACCAATTCTTTCAATGTAAGTATGAATATGGTGTTTTGTGTTCTTAGTATTTTATTTTTAAATTAATGAGGTAATTATTTTTCTTTTTGAAATAATACATGCTACACTTTGTCTTCTAACAAGTTATATTCCTATTTGATCCTGGAGATAATATGAAACAACAAAATATTTTGGCTGGAACTAATTTCTAGGCACAAAAAGCTTTTTCCATGACAGAGTTCTTGAATGCTAGTAAAAATACATTCAACTTCTAAAAACCTGGATTTTAAAATAAAAATTCCTGCTATTTGAGCTTAAGTGCATCTAATAGAGGCAGACAAAACAATTTAATGTTTTAGGGTATGAACTGAACTTTATTTTACTGACTTTGTCTTGGAAGTTTATCCCATGTGTTATGGCTTGACCTTGGTAGGCAGCTCAGCCCCACACATCTGCTTGCTCACTCCCCCCCAGTGCAATGGGGGAGAGAATCAGAAAGGCAAAAGTGAGAAAACTCATGGGTTGAGATAAAGACAGTTTTAATAGGTAAGGCAGAAGCTCAGTATTACAAGCAAAGCAAAATAAGGAATTCAATCACTATCAATAGGCAGATATTTAGCCGTTTCCAGGAAAGCAGGGCTTCATCATCTGTAACTGTTACTTGGGAAAACAAACACCATTAAGTCCAAATGTCCCCCCTTCTTCCTCCTTTCCCTGAGCTCTTACTGCTGAGCTTGATGTCATACAGTATTGAATATCCCTTTCATCTGTTGTGGTCAGCTGTGCCAGCTGTGTCCCCTCCACAAGACTACTTGCTGGTGGGGCAGCAAGAAAAACAGAGAAGGCCTTGATGCTGTGTAAGCACCGCTCAGCAACAGCTAAAACATCCCTGTCTTATCAACATTGTTTTGGTTACAAATCCAGAACATAGCATCATATGAGCTACTATGAAGAAAATTAATTCTATCCCAGCCAAAACCAGTACACCATGATTGTCAGTTGCTTGCTACGTTTTCTCTGAAATCTTTGTTTGAGGCTCTATATTATGCTAATACCATGTTTTGAGGCCTAATATTCTGCAAGTATTAATTCAATCTGTGTCGTGTTCTGTTGGCCACTGAACAGTGTACAAGTTCCTACCCTTTTTTGGGTTGTGTTCAGCTTTTTAATGCAAATCTATCTAGTTAATTTCCTATCGGAAAATGATCTTTTTTTTTTCTTAACAGGTTTTTCCTTATGTGCTATATGTTTGTAAATCTGGCTTGTGCAGTTCAGACGCTTTTACGGACTCCCAACTGGAGGCCTCGTTTCAAGTATTACCATTGGTAGGGAATATTCCTTTATTCAGAAGAGTTAAAACTAATTATGCAGCCCTAAATTGTTGATTTTCTTGCAATAATAAAACAAAATGTCCTTTCTGACTTAAATGAGTTAGAGTATGCAGTACATGAATCATCTTATAACAGCAATGTTTGTTTTCATGTGTTTGGAATAGAGCTAGTAATAGCTGTGATCGCAAAAACAGGTGGCTAATGTAGGGGGTTTGGGAAGGGGCTACAGGGTGACATTTCATGTTGCTTATAAGCCGAGAGATCTCTGAATATGTGAGAATGAAGATGAAAAAAAAAAAATCTGTCTTTTATATATAGATAAGGAGAACTGATAAAAATGTTACGGAAGGCTGATACAATTTTCATTTTAGTTATGCAAAAAAATACACAAAACCAAAACTTGTAAAGGAAAAAAATCTCATTTAATATACATCAGTTCGCTCTTTAACAATCACTGTTTTTAAAATATGTCATGCTTTGGACATTGCATTTGATAACTGAAGTAGACAAGTGGATACTTGATAAAGTCAGTAAAGGTCAATTATACATAAAGTGTGGGTGGTATTTTTTTAGTTTAGATTTTTTTAATGGCTTAAGAGTTCAAACATTTCAAACAGATTGGGGGACTTTTTGATTTTTTTTTTTTTAACCAAATGTGAAAAATACATATGTATTTAATTAACAGTAACTCTATTGAGAAATTTTAGTGTTGAAATGCCTTGAAGACTAGAGCCTTTAGTGATTCTAGGATGTAAGAGTTGCTTATTATTTTTCCTTTTAAAGAATTGAGTGGAAATGAAATGTCACGGGTTTAGCCCTGAAAAATCTTTTTGAATATGCTCAGTAAGCACTTACTAGTTTGGCACCTAAACCTCCAAATACATCAGTGCCTGTCTCCCAGTCTATCACTGCAAACACCTAGTGGTATTTGCAACATCAAGAAGGAAAATGGGGGATTGCTGTCTTTTTGGTTTTTTTTTTTTTTTTTTTTTTTGTTCCACCTCCCCTGAATAATCTGATCATGGAAGATGTATAGTAGGAGGTACAAAGTAGCTTAAAAGCTAAGGCAGGTGGGTAAGATGGGCAGCAAGAAGTAAGGGATGGACCATGGGGAAGAAGAAAAGCAAAGGGTTGTGACATGGTAACAGCAGAGTTTGTAACCATTTGGCAACAATTCTTTTTTATATTTTCCCCAGAGAGATCAGTGAGCCAACTGACTCACTGTGTGACTACATAATCACTTCTAGCCAAAGCAGGTGTCAGGTTGCTTGGCCGAAATTGGGATGGGACTTTATTTTTTGAGTGAAAGTAGAGTCTTAGGTTGGCTAAGTCAAGCGTGAATAAGCAGCTGTTATTCTTTTAGACAAACTACATTTAGATTGATGTCCTCAGAACTGGTAGAAAGCATTTCTTCGGTTTAAAACTGGATGCGTTTGGACTCAATACTTGTATTGCTGAAGAAGCAAACTGAAGGTACCAAATATAAAAGGTCTGCCGACCTCTTTATCAGTACAGTGAAAGCTTGCTCTAATTTGGAAATCAGGTGAAAAGAAATCTGGGGTGTCATATGTGACTAAAAGTATTCACAAAACTGTCCAGTTCTGAGCTGACTTACATCTATCTTGAATAATAGTGTGGGCAAACCAGGCATATGAACTCTAATCTAGAAATGCTTCTGTAATTTTTTCAGCTCAGTTATTCTTTCTTTATAACCTTTGAAAGATTGTTTTTCTGTATTCTCTTCTACTGTCCTGTCGTCTTGCCTAAGAGACAGGCCACAACAGAAGTGGAGAATATAATTGAGTCAAATTTAATTTAAACTAATCAACTATATTTGATGGAATTAACATAATGTTGTTTAGTACCATTTGAGAATTTTTTTAGCTTAAATTCAAATCAACAATGAGTAAGTGATAGCAATGTGTTTTGAAACTGACCTTACTTGGAGGTACTGATAGAGTTTCAGAACAGACAAATGTAGTAAATCTATTGTTATATCTAGTTCAATTGCATTATTTATGTCACACAAAGGTTCAGAATGTAATTTTTTTTTATAAACTAAAATTGGGATGATGTATTTTTATTTGTATAGTAGCTATGAAATGGCCTTTGAAGAAGAAAGGCCTTTCTGGAAGTTAACTTAAATAAGAAATTGACTTTGTAGAACGTTTGCATGCCTATTTAAAAAAATGGAAAAAAATGGTTTCTTTTAGGACTCTCTCATTCCTGGGGATGAGTTTATGTCTTGCCTTGATGTTCATTTGCTCTTGGTACTATGCTTTGATTGCCATGCTAATCGCAGGATGTATATACAAATACATAGAATATAGAGGGTAAGACCATATATCTTATTTATTCTATATTTAATATCTTTAACATTCAGCAAAAAGCACTTTTGTATAAAATAGATACAACTGAAGTAATAGAATTAAGAATATTCCTTGAAACAAGGTAAGATCCCATCTCTGTTAAAGGTTTTAATTTTTCAGGTTCTAATTTCTCTGGAACCTCTGTTCCAAACTTCTTGACAGCCAGAACTAATCAAAATAAGAACCAATAAGGCTGGGAAATTTTCATTTGAGCAGAGATTATGGTGTAAAGTTTTGGTACTTCAGGAACATCACCTTTTAATGTCAAGCAGCAACTATTACAAAACCATTACCTTATTATTAACTTGTGCTAAAGCCCCAAAACTCTACTCTCTTGTGTGGACTTTAACACTGTTTAGAATGAATCATACTGAACAATCCAAAGCACCCACTGAAAATTATCTGTTTTCTGAAGGCTTAGATAATCTTTAAATTGCAACTTACATTTGCATTGTATGCACTTGACAAGGGACACATGCGGGGCCACACCTTTAAGAAATGCTGTGCAAGTAGGAGACTTAAAGAGCATGCTGAGTTTAAACAAAAACAAAACAAAAACAAAAAAACACACACACACCCCCCCAACTAAACAACATATCCAAACACTAAAGGTGATTATGATAAGTAATGTGTGTGCTTTCCCTTTCTAAGGAAAGGTACCCAATGCTGAAAGATTCTAGTCAAGAAAAATAGTAAGATCTTGGAGCAGGAAATAGAAGCAAGGCCAGTTGTTTTGATGAGTGATTAAGCACAGGTCTTAAGTGGATCAGCTGGTATAAACTGCTCCACCTTGTGGGTTCTCCATCCTTTAATATCTCCATTTCCAGATTAGATGCCTTCCTGGACTGTAAGAGCTCCATTTACTGGGTTAATTATAAGGAAATTAATTTGCCTATTTTAGCCAGGAAGTCAGATCAGATGATAACAGTTCTGCTTGTATGTGTGTATGTAGGTATGCACATACATAAAACTATATGTACATCCAAATTCTTATACAGACTATACAAATGTTGGCACATAGCCAGCACACCTACCCTGTAGAAAGAGACTCTTTTTTGCAGAAACTTAACTTCTCTTCTCCCTGCCTTTACAAACGCAGGGGCTAATTTGGCAGTGGGGAGAAACTCGCACTGAAATGTCCTAAAAACTGGTGTCTGGAGAAAATCTCAGGTTTTATTTGAATTTTTGGATAACTAGGTAAAAGAAACTTACCCTAACAGCACAATCATGTATGTGTTAATTGCCATGTTGTTCCTTAATAGCTTTTGAAGTCAGTTTGGCTTATTTCATCTAAATTTCGAAAGAAGGCTAGAGGTAACAAAGTTCAGTGAGAATTCATGAATAAGAGGGAGGGAGGGCAAGGGAGATGGACCCCTTGCCGTAGTAGAATCCCCACAAAGGAGAACAATGTGTTAGCCTAGCAGTTCGTTCTTACTTGGTTGGCCACCTGGCGTATAGCATGGCTTTGTATTGGGAGAAAGAGGAGTGGAAAATGTAGGGAGATTGAAAGTGGTCGGGAGGGTGGATAAAGCTTTTTAGGCTCATCTGGGAGAGAAGCTGGGAAGGAAAGGAAGTGGAGAAAGCTATAGTGGTGGTGTTGGGGGGGAAGATATAACACACTAATCCATACAAAATCAAGTTTCACTTATTCATTCTGCTGCTTTAAAACAATTCCTTTTAAGTAGCCCTCACTCATTCTAGTGCTTAAAAGCAACTTAAGTAGCTAACGTGATTACAGAAAAGCTTTTGAAGTATGACTAAAATAGACCATAACAAATATTAATAAATACTTAATAAATGGTTCTCTTGAAGGGACCTGGGAGTGCTTCATCTTGGTTAGTCTTCATTCTTGATTTAAATATGCAAGATGAGTGTTTTTTCATGCATTCATGCAAAAAGAGTTCATTTTTTTTATGCCTGTTATCCCTCATGTGAGAAAATGTACTTAATTTGTATAAATAAATGGGACCCTGTTAATTGAATCTCTTCTGCACCCTCAAGAGCGGAAAAAGAATGGGGTGATGGAATCCGAGGACTGTCTCTGAATGCAGCTCGCTATGCTTTGCTTCGTGTTGAAGACGGTCCTCCTCACACCAAGAACTGGAGGTAAGTCCTATGCTTTCCAAGGTCACATAATTCTTGAAATGTGTAAACCTATTGGGAATATTACTGGTAAAGCTAGTGGCCAAAGTGAAATTCACCATTAAAATAATGTTTTAACTTGGGCATGGCAACGATGTCAATGCAATAGTATTATTTTACTGCAATAGAATGAGACTTATGGTCAGCACGTAATCAACTTTCTTGGGAATATGGGCAAACTAACTCAAGTTAAATCCACGTGGTGTTGACATAGTTTTCCAAAGTGCAGAAGAATTTTAATGTTTGATTATTTATAGATTTTCAGATTCAAAGGAACAGTTATCATTGAGTCCCACTGTCTCTGTAAGAAGAAATGCTGCAATTCCATAAGATTTTTTTTGCTTATATATATATATGATCCCTCTGATGTACATTGTATAAATACACAGAGGATCCATTATTTGTTGAAATTCATTTTTTGTGGCAATCTTTTTTATATAGCTTTATTTAATAGTAACACTTTCTAAATTGCTTAGCTATCATTAAAACAAAATCTCATGTTTGCTGTCCATTTGTATGTAATGGGGTTAGGTGTCCATTACTATTTTTGCAATGTATTCTTTTTACTTGTTAAACTACCAATTTTCTCAAAGCCAACACAAAAAATTAGGAAGCATTTAAAAACAAAAGAATGTTTGTTTGCACATTGTCACTTCTCATGCATGTAATGCAAATCAGAAGAACTCTGATCAGTGGAACGCACAAAAATTGTCACTAACGGTGATACTATCGCAGAGCAGTGACTATAATTAAAGTATCCCTGGGTGCATGCACATGCAATGTTCTGTTGCCCTTCAGTGTAATGGCATCACTTTACCATTTGTCATGGGACTGACGCACATAGACAGTTACTATGGAATACATGAGCCACTGTCTTTATTTGTGTCTGAACATGGCATCTCAGAGGCACCAATGTAATGTAGCGGTGACTAAGAGCATTCCTGTTAAATGTCTGACATCGCTTCAGTTTCAGATGAGTTATCCTTCTGTTGTGTCAACGTAATTGCTAGAACTGGACCTTCTTGTTACATCTTACACTGCGCTGGTTTTGAGGCAGGAAGTACACTCCGACTCTTCATCGTTCTTTTGAATTTGTAGTAATGACAGAAAAAATGTAATGTAGCGGTGACTAAGAGCATTCCTGTTAAATGTCTGACATCGCTTCAGTTTCAGATGAGTTATCCTTCTGTTGTGTCAACGTAATTGCTAGAACTGGACCTTCTTGTTACATCTTACACTGCGCTGGTTTTGAGGCAGGAAGTACACTCCGACTCTTCATCGTTCTTTTGAATTTGTAGTAATGACAGAAAAATTATAAAATGCTGGTTTGGGAAAAGTAAGCGGATTGGATATTGATTAAAGGAAACAGAATGCATCCTCCTCAAGTATGCAGCTGAAACTGAACTTGGGGTGCTATCAGTGCGGTTAAGGGTGTGGCTGTCCTTTTGGGAGGGCCTATGAGGGAGAGGGAATGGGTCAACAAGAACGTCGTGAAAGTCCAGAAGGACAAGTGCAAAGTCCAGTACCTGGGACAGGCTTGTCCAGTGCAATGGTACAAGGCTGGGAACCTGCTCTGGTGAGAAGGACCTGTGGTTCCCAGTAGATAGTAAGCCAGCAGTGCGCCTTGGCAGTGACACGCTGGACTGCATCAACAGGAGCATAGCTAGTATATTGAGAAGTATATTGGGAAATAATATTCCTCTTTGCTCAGCACTCATTACAATACATCTAGACTATTTCATCCAGTTTTAGGCACCCTAATGTAGGAAAGACATCGCTAAGCTGGAGTGAGTTCAGCAGAGGACCACCGAGATGATGGTTGGGGCACAGGAGCATATCTCCTGTGGGGAGAGGCTGAGGGAGCTGTGCTTATTCAGCTTGGAGGAGGCTTAAGGGGAGTCTAAAAGCTGATGTAACTAACTAGTAAACATCCAATACCTAAAAGAAGGTTACTGAGAAGATGGAGTCAGACTCCTTACAGCAGTATATGGTAGGAGAACGAGAGAACATGATAGAATGGAGAAAGAAAAAATAAAAATTGAGATGACGATAGTCAAGCATCGAAGAGGTTACCCAGAGGTGATAATACCTCTGTCTCTGGAGGTTTTCAAAATCCGGCTGGACGGAGATGTAACAATCTGGTGTGCATTCAATGTTTAACCACTTTAAGCAGCAGGTTGCACTAGATGACCTTGGAAGGGTGATAATTTTGATTCAATAATTTCTCGGTAAAACTATTCTTTAAGGTAGCGTTTCAGAATGATGGTATGGCGGCTCATGTAGGTATTGTGTACCTGAAGTGATGTTGCTATTGCAAACTATGACTTCCTTGCTTGACAGTTGAATGTTTTGCATTGAATTGAGCACTTAATGTGCATTTTATTAATTGGTAATTTTAATTTTCCAGTTCTTTCTTGCTTTTCTATATATATGTGCGTGTGTGTTTAACTTTTTTTTTTGGCAGACCTCAACTTTTGGTCCTGTTAAACCTGGACAGTGAGCAGTTGGTGAAACATCCTAGATTGCTTTCTTTCACCTCTCAGTTGAAGGCTGGTAAAGGACTGACTATCGTGGGCTCTGTGCTTCAGGGAATCTTCTTGGATAAATGCACAGAAACTCAGAAAGCTGAGGAGGTATGTAAAAGACAGCTTACAAACACTTGTAACTTCCATTCGTATTTAAATGTCGAAGCTGGATAACTCATATCTTGAATTTGAACAGACTGTTGTAAAGCGTTGAATAAAACATCAATTTTTTTTACTATCAGCACAATGAATGATGATATATTAAAGAATAGGTTGGTGTGTGTAGCAAAATGTTTTATAAAATTTCCCAATAGGATGAGACAATGCTGATACTTCCTAGACTTCTATTTTCTTTACTATTGAGAGCCCCGGGCTCACAATCAAATTACAGTCTTGAAAAAACCAAGTGATAGATTTCTAACAAATTACCTTATAAAGAAAACAGATTTATGTAACAAAAAGCTTAACATTTGTCTAACAAATGCAGATGTGTTTGGCATAATTTCATCCTCTGGAGGTATACATGATATTATTTTCTACATTGTCCTAGAAATACATAGCAGAGCTAGGACTAGGAGCAGTCTTGCTGGAATCCTACTCTGTTGCTTACCTGTAAACAGCATCCTTCTTGAGATCCTTTTACTTTTTCTCTTCTTTTTTTTCCTTTCTTATTTATCCTGTATCTCCAGAGAAGGTAGGATGAGGTAGGAAGAAACAGTAAGTTGTCACATAATTTAAGATGACATCTAACTGTGCTTACAAACACAACTGAATTTAATTTGAATGTTTCTCTTTTTTTTTTTTTTTTTTCCCCCCTGACAACTTGTCAGTATTTGACTGTGCTACCCGATTGGAAATACGTAGACATTTTTGTGGGAAGCCCTTGAAAACACCTGAACTTAGTTTTAAATTGTCCCCTGAAGGAAAAAGGGAAGGTAATATATTGACTGAGCTTCTGAAGATCCATTGTTCATACGGCTTGGACTTTCAATGCAAAGCAAGTTTCCCTTTTTGTTCAGTCTTAATCAACTTGTGTACTTCTCTGTTTAATCCAGTATTGGGGTAACTCGGTATAGATAATTATATTTGCCTACCTACGCAAACTCTCCTACTCCTAACTTTATAGAGCGGGGAAACTTTTTTAGAAAATACCATGTTTCATGTATTTTATTGGACGCTATTGGAAAATCTATTGCCTTTAGAAAACCACTATAAAGTCTACTCCAGAAGTAGGCTTTGGTTGCCATTACATCTTCCAGAACGGGTTAATATCTTCAGTGTTGTTGAAAAGAGTATCAGTTAAAATGGCTACTACTCTGATCCAAGTCATCTTCAAGGCTGTGTAAAAATGCCTGTGACTTATTCAGACCTGGTATCCCTCAAATAGATGAGCATTTGAGATGTTGAAATGGACTTAACAAAGCTAACTGCCCTTTTTCTCCCAGCTTTCTTTCTTTCTTTCTTTCTTTCTCCCTCCCTCTTGGTATTCAGACTTGTCCCTAGTGGTTTTTAAAATAACAAAGTGTGAAGCCAGATGGCCTAGCTGATATCACATGAAAAGGCTCCAAGAGGAGCAATTAGCTTGAAAATGTGGTGGGAAAAGCCTAGCAATGATATATTGTGAAAGTAATTGTTATTAAGCTGTTATTATCAACATGTGTGAGTAGAAAAAAAGACCAAGAATACAGTCAGGCCCCTGAAATAAAACAAAGGAAACCTTTGAACAGAAACTGTTTACCCGTGAGGATTTGAAATGTTACCTATAGTTAGCTTAACTTGAAGTCAACTACATTTTTGAGAGATGGATCAGGAGTGAATTTAAGGGAGACCTAGTGCCCGGGTTCTCTAGAAAGTCAGAGCTGGTGGTAAGATTGAGGAAACTGTTGCTTTCAAAATGGAAATGAAGATGAATTGTAAAAGTTTGAGTGTCTGGAGGCCTCACTGGTTTTGCAAAATTTCAACTAGAAAATGTTTCTAGAAGATTTGTAGGAAATCAAGATTTCTCCTGTCTGTCTTTTAAAAAGAGAAAAGCATCCATTTAAACTGATAGGCCCTTGCAGATATTGTTTGCACAGACTGACTTCTTAGCTCTGCTACCGATTTCTCTGAAGACTTTTTTTTTCTCTACTAAACAGACTTTCTGATGTGAAGCCACACTGAGCCAGTGCCAGGCATTCTGTGATCAAATCTGTTCCTGATCGTTTCTGATAGGAGTGCTGGTGCTTCCAAAATTCCAAATTTTGATGTGCTGGTTCTTCCTTCTGTGAAACCATGCTGATCTCCCACACAAGTCATTGATAATGATGGGATTTCTAAAGTCGTGCCATCAAAACATAGTAAATGCCAAAGCTGATGTTCCCTAGTCAACCTTGATACCATTTTGAATGCTACTTTTAAACTACTTGGTTATGTGTCTGTATGTTTGTCAGAGTTTAAATGAAGGGGAGCCATGCTGAACTTAAAGGGGTGTTGGGAGATCTAATCTAGTCAGTTTATCTTGTCATTATTCAGCCAGTGATTCCAATTGTCTCCTGCACGCTATTTTTCAACGTTGGGAGCCGATAAAGAATCAGCCTCTTAACATCAAAGTTGTTTAAGGAGCTTTGGCGGCCTCTTCTTCTGAAGTCCTTGGCATCACGTTTTTCCAACCCTTCCAATTCCAAAAGAAAGGACTCGTCATTCCAAACATACGGTGCTTTGTCAGCCAGCAGTTTTGACTTTACCCGAAGCAATGTGACTTTATTTATCTTTGTCAATGTGGTTTTACTCATATCTTGTTCGTTCCTCTTTGGAAATAAAAGGCTGAATAATTGAAGTAATGAGAAACCTGTGTGTGGTGTCTTTTGGGGAGGTGGGTTGTTTTGGGTTTTAGGTGTCATAGAATCATGTTCACTCTTTTGGAATCAGCGGTTTCTTGATGTTGGTTGTACGTTATAGCTAACATTTTGGTCTTATTTAGTGCTGTTACTCCTTATGGTGTTTATTACCAGTGTTGATGACTGTATTTCCTCGTGTGTAATCTTCCTTTTGCAGAACGTTAAGGCCTTAATGGGAGTAGAAAAGACTAAAGGATTTTGCCAGATTGTGGTGTCTCCTAATTTCAGAGATGGAATATCCTATTTGATTCAGTCAGCTGGTCTAGGAGGGATGAAGCACAACACAGTCCTGATGGCATGGCCACAGTCGTGGAAGCAGACAGAAAATCGTTTCTCATGGAAGAATTTTGTCGGTATGTGCTTATTGACATTCTCCTATGCATTTGTAATACAACTATGCATGTATTTGTCATCACATGAGGAAACGCGATGCTGAACATCCAGTGGACAATTGACTATTTCCCCACATCTGATTTCATGTGGAGTGGGTTTTCTCAGCCCTCAGTCTCTTCAACCATGGCTTTTCTTGTTCTTCTCCAAAGCAGGTTAGTCATTAAATGCAGGATGTTCCTCTTTTGCCTCAGCAGAATCTGGGAGGATTTAAGCTTTTGATTTTAAAACAAAAACAAAAGCTGTGAATGAAGACTAGAAGTTCTCGATCAAATGTCTTGCTTTCCCTTGCAGACACTGTACGAGAAACAACAGCAGCTCAGCAAGCACTGTTGGTGGCTAAAAACATTGACTTATTTCCGACAAATCAAGAACGTTTTACTGAAGGAAACATAGATGTGTGGTGGATTGTTCATGATGGTGGTATGCTGATGTTACTGCCTTTTCTCCTTCGGCAGCACAAGGCAAGGACAATAGAAAATGGCTGGGATTTCATTTTCTAGCAATGAATAGTTCTAAGGGTTTCTAATGAAATACTCTTTCACCTTGATAGAGTTATGCATGGGGAGGTTTACACGGCACCGGGCCTGCTGGCGGCAGATGGAGTCCAGCTGTCTCACAGGGGGAAAAGGATCATGGCTCATGAATTGGCGGGGCTCACTGAGAGGGCTTTAAACTAGGTTCGAAGGGGGAAGGGGATAAAACCAGGCTCACTAGAGATGAGCCTAGGGGTGGCGTGCCGATGCCAGGGGTGAAATCGATAGCCCAGCTCAAGTGCATCTACACCAATGCACGCAGCATGGGCGGCAAACAGGAGGAGCTGGAAGCCATTGTGCAGCGGGAGAGATACGACTTAGTCGCCATCACAGAAACATGGTGGGGTGACTCTCATGA